GCATACTGGTTGTAATTGGGCCAGCTGGAGGTTGCATCTGCATTTATAGAGTTATCTGTAAGATGCTGGGCATACGCTTCGCCTATATTCATCCGACATCTAGAAGAATCCCCGGATTTTCTTGCTTGGGTGTTGACTCTCATATGCCCAAGCGGCCAGGGGGGGATCAAAGGTAGAGGTTTTACCTTTTTCGGGCTGTGGGGTCAAAGCCCCCCCAGCCGCATTTGAATCTGTACCCGTCTGGGTACGAGCAGCCGACCTCAATTCCTCCACTACCATTTCAAAGTGGGGAATGGATTGCAGGCTCTTTCCTGCAGTAGTAGGCCTGTCTGTGTCAGGCGTTTTCTTCGAAGCCGAAGCAGCCGGGGCGGGAGCCGCCAGCCTTGGTGTTTTAGCAGCCGGCTGAGGTATGTTTCCAGCCGGCCTTTTGTGCATGCTCGCTAAAGAGCGAGGCATGACTTGGCTCCTAGTCTGAAATCAGTCAAACATATTACATCTAGTTAAATATCATCTACCTTCAAGTATATCGCATCCGGCAAATAAAGAAAGTAAATATGGCCAAGATAGACTACCCCAGCGTTTTTGGAGGCCAGCGCCGCCTTCTTTTCTTCAATCTGCTTCTTCCTTAGAAGAAGAGCAGAAGTAGCAGGTGTCTTCTCTACAGGCACCATTTCTTTGGCAACTTCTGCAAAAAGGCAAAGGGAAAGGTTAGAGTTCTGATAGACATACACAGGCGTCAGGTACCGTGTGACTCAGAAACCTACCCTTAGTAAACATTGTACTAAGATTATAGAGAGATAGGATGGCCTCATCCTTAAACCATTCCGGATGGGGAACAAAGAATTTGGGAACAATAATTTCGCTCCCATCATCCATCCGGGAGGTCGTCTTAAGAAAGAGACCTCTTTCCATTATTTGATCCCATGCCTCAGCCGACACTTTTGGGAGAGCGCATTTTCTCCGGAGAGAAACCGGATGCTTATTATATCTGCGCAGCCGGCGGTTAAGTTGTAGAGTTGGAGAAGAAACAACATAGAATTTGCTCTTCCAATTGCTTCATTTGGATGGCTTGTCCAAAGTCATCATATACTCTGGGTGGGTTGTTAAAGTATACCATGCATTCTAACCACCCGACGCCCGGCTGAGGTAATGCATATGAGAGAATACCTCCCAGCTAGGCTTAACCTCCTGCAACTCGCAGGCAGCAATATATCCCAATGTGTTGACCCATGAGTTAGGGGTCAACTGCCATACACCTTAGTCATATCCCCTTAGTATGGCCTTAATGCAATGATGAAGGGGGAACCGGAGGCCGGCTGTGAATGCCGCCTAGTAGCAGCCGAAGTAGTTGTCGGCATTGTCCAAATTTTTGGTCCAAACGACGCTTGCCTCTACCAGTTCTTCCCAGTTCTTCCCTACCAGCTTCTTATTAAAAAAAAGCAGGGAGTGTTGCATTTAAAGTAACCACATCCCTGGCGGACATAGTCATGTCGATAGGGTCACCTGCAGCCGGCCACTTATAGGCTTCCTCATCAATAGGGGCAGCCGCTTCAGGAGACTCCTCATCAGAGTCGGATGCCTCATCACCTGACACCTCGCCGGAGCCATCGGCGTTAGAATTAGAGTCTTCTAAAATACTGTCCCCCGGTGTACTAGGTTCACCCGGAGAATTATGTGGAATAGAATCATTCGGAACTCTCTTAGACGGTTCCTTTGTCTGATCTTCAGCTAAATCTACAGCCGGATCAACGGCTGCATCATCGGACTGGTAGTCAGGGTCGACAGCCGTCACACTTATCCGAGCCATTCTATCCTGCACATGAACAGAGACGATCAGATTCAAAGTAGGTGAAGGTTGGCCAAAACACCCCCAGACGGCAGTCCCAATCCTAGACTTAGCCATCTCTAGTGACCGGCTGACCACTGTCGTAGGCTGTGCCGTTTTTATATTGGTGGAGTCCATATCCTAATTCTATATGCACAACCGGAAATTAAAGGGAAAAGAATTGCAAAGGGTACAGACGGTACCTTAGAATGTGAAGCTTGTTGGATACAACTGTCAAAGCTGAAAGTGGCTTGAAGTCACCACAGGCGGATGTGTTTGAAGCTGAAAGACAAAAATAGAAATTAGCGGGTTTTTCATTAACTCATTCAAAGATACCCAGACGGTTTAAAACCGGATGAGGGTTTTTTAGAAAGCTAACTATACATTGTATGAAGTTCACTACTAAGAAATGGGTTAAAGACCCCAGAGGCGGCATGCAACCCGAATGGGAAATCATTCAAGATCCTTGAAATCAAAAGTGTAAAGTAAAGAGAAAGGGGCAGCCGGTACCTTGTCGAAATTGAGTAGAATATACTCAACCGGTAGCCGGATGTGATTGATCTACAAATGCCGAATGCTAGAATTCTTGAGGAAATTAGGCAGCCGGTGTCAAAGCTCTCAGAGAATTTTTTGAAAATTTTGTAAAGTATGGAGGAGAGAGGTGATGTCTCTCATTTATAGGAGAGGAGCAGAAGGTGAATCAACACCTTCTGCCCTAAAAATTGAAAAACTTAAAAAGGGAGGGAAGCAGACGAACCGTCCCTTCCCATTCCTCTGACGCCTGTCACAGGTGACACATGACTATGCTACATCACACTTGTGAGGGGCAGATGTTTAGGGTAAAAATACCCCTAGACACGTGGCCCTATAAAGGCTTGCCACGTGTCAAGCTTGCAAAGGTCAGCAAGGGCCCAATCCCTTTGCAACACGTGTCATTGTACCCTAATTGAGGTACAGCTCTCCCCTACTATAAATAGTAGGGGAAGACCTCATTTATGGGAATCGACAACATTTTCAACAACCAACCAAACACAAAACCCATTGTAAAACGCTCTTCAATCGAGAAGCATTTATTTCTCTTTATACCTCTTTTAAAAAAGATTCTAACTTAATCTTCGGAGGCGAAACTCCCACCCCCCAGCCGGAGACTCCGTTATTTGTGCAGGTATGATCAGTGGCCATTTTGCCCACTTTTCTACTTCGTTTCTTCCCCGATTGAGCCCTTTGTTTGCCCTTTTTCCTCTATTTTAGCTTAGTTTTGTTATTATTGAGCATATTTGCTACTTGGAGTGGTTTTGAGTCATTTTTGGCTCATTTCCTAAGGTTTTATTCCCTCTCCTTTAACCCATTTCAATTTGCTCCTATTAGAACCTTTCCTATGATTTGTGTTTTCCATCTTACAGGTCCTCCCGTGGCTAAGAAAGCAAGGATTGGATGCAAGGATTAGGCATGCTTTGGAGTCAAAGGGATTGGAGCATTAGAGCCCAAAATATGAAGGAAAGAAGAGTTCAGAGCGGGCGCTCTAGATATGGAGCGGGCGCTCTGTATTCCTTGCTGCAAAAAAACCAAGTACCCAACCCTCAGAGCGAGCGCTCTAATGGTGAAGCGGGCGCTCTAGCTCCCAGAATAATCAGAGCATTTTCTGCGAGACTTCAGAGCGGGCGCTCTGGCCTTAGAGCGGGCGCTCCGTGTTCCCCTGACCGATTTGAACTCTGCTACACGCGTAGGCCGACGGCTCTAATTATTTTACTCTGCACGTGATGCCTAAAATTTTGGGCCTTGATTTGGGTTAGGTTTTAGAGGAGGGTATAAATACCTCTCTTCCTTGTAATTGGGAGGAGAGAGGTATGTAGAGAGAGAAATATTAGAAAATCAGATTTCAGCTTATTGTTTTTTTTCTTCTTTCTTTTGCACTTTAGATTAGTTAGGGTTTAGTTCCTCATTAGATCTAAAACACTACTCTTTGTTACTCTCTTTCATTTTCAATCCAAGATTAAATCTTTTGGTATTATTTCTATCCCTACTCTTTATTTATCTATTTTAATTAGTTTTAGCTTATTTTTAGTTGTTATTTTAAGTCAATAGAATAGTTTAATATCTTAGTTGCCTCCTTGTTTAAACTTGCAATTTCTGGTTTTGATCCTTTATTTTCTTGCTATTAGTATAATATTATCCTTATTTGCTTAGATTTCATGCTATTTAGAATAGATTACAAGTAGACTTAACATATTCTCTTCAAAGTTAACTTCTTTAGTAAAGTTTAATCATCCTATTTTCTGGTTTTAGCCATGTTTCTCTCATTAAACTTAGTTTTTGCTTTTGTTAATGTTCTTGTGTGCTTTGGTATGACCCTTCCTTCTCTAGGCTAGGTTTCTAGCTAGGGGAGGGGGAAATGATGAACTAATGATGAAATGAATGATATGTGGTGCAAGATTGGGTAGATTGAGAAGTTTTGCAATTGATTCCAACCTAGGTTTTAGTTGTTAGGATTTAGAGATTGATCACCTCTAAGACCCTATTTTGTGTTGCATGCTAGTTGCGCGAGAGTGAGCTTGTATGTGATGATGACTAGGTTAGGGATGACCTCGACCACCGAGGCGGGGTTGGGTAGGCGGTGTTTAGGTGAGCCCGAGAGGGAATCCTAGATGTTGGACCATAGGCCCCAATTGTTTGATTGACCAATTGAACCATTCTTGTTGCCTCTAATTGTTGAAATCATTGTTAGTTAGGAATTCTCCCCTATCCCCTAGTGTTTGCTATTCCTTGATTTTCGAAGTTTTATACCTCTGCTTGTTGCTTGTTAATTTAGTTCTTAGTTTATTTGTTTCCCTAGTAGCTATAGATAAATCCATCAAAAATTTATTCCTCCCTTTTCAATTGACTTATAAGTGATCTAAGCAAGAGACGTTTGACCTTCCCTGAGGATTCGACCCCTCTTCCACTATGCTACCTTTGGTTAGTTTAGGACGTGGGTTTTCTTTTTATTCTTGACTCGACCTTTAGGAACTAACGACACCTAGGGGGCTGATCAAGTTTTGGCGCCGTTGCCGGGGACTGGCAACATTGTTTATTGCTTAGTTATCTTGTTTTTCAATTGTTTTCTACTTCTATCCTTCTATTTTTCATTTATTTCTCCGTTGTTGTCATTCGCTAATTGTCTGTTTAGCTGTGTTGAATGCTTAGAAGATCACAGGGACCACCTACTCACGACCTCGATCTCGACATTGACCGCACTCTAAGGCGAGTGAGGAGACTATTTGTTGAACAAACGGGTGAGGAGGAGGAGTTCTTTGATTCTTCTAGTGATATTTCTTCAGACATGGGGGATGCCAATGGCGCTCTTTTTGGTGACTTTGGTAATCCGGGTAGTCATGAATTGCAATGTGGGATTCTACTTCCTACAACGGAAACAAATTTCACTATCCACCCGCACTACACTCAAATGGTGCGTGGAGATCAATTTTCTGGAGCAGCTCATGAAGATCCGATAGAGCATTTGGACAAATTTCTCGAGACATGTGCTTTACTCCAAACCAACCAAGTCACTCAAGAATACATCCGGATGCACCTTTTTCGGTATTCGCTCACAGGCAAGGCTTATAGGTGGCTCAAAAACCTAAAGCCCGGCTCGTTGGCCTCATGGAGAGACACGGCCAAAGCTTTCTTGAACAAGATCATTCCCGAAGACAAATCAACCGAATTGAGGCAGAAAATTTCATCATTTAGGCAAGAAAGGTATGAATCTTTGGGGAAGCTTGGGACCGGTTTAAAGAGTATGTGAGAGCTTGCCCACACCATGAGTTTGACAAGCAACTTCTCATCAAGTTCTTCTATGATGGTCTTGACGACATACCCAAGCAAAATTTGAATTCCGGATGTGGTGGACATATTAGCAAGGTGCCTCAAGCTCAATTGGAGGACACCATAGAGGAAGTTGTGAGGTACTATTCTACGAGTGGTGGAAGAAGAAGAGGTGAAGAGAGAGCTTCGGGCAAATTCGAGCTTGATCAAGGTTCACTCAAGGCTCTTATGGAACAAGTCATTGACAAGAAGCTGGGAAATAGCCAAGGGTCTTCATCTTCCTCCACCAATCAAGTACACTCTTTCTCTTGTGAGAATTGTGGGGGTACCAACCATGATATATCATATTGTGGTGGTCGAGACCCCGAACATGTAGCGGCAATGGGGTACATGAACAATCAACGTGATAATTGGAGAGCCCCCAATGCCAATTATGGTAATAGATTTCAAGATGCAAGTGGCCCAAGCCACAACACGGGTCAAATGGCTCCCTTTCCAAATCCAAATGCTAGCAATCACCCTAGAGCACCATTCAAGCAAGGACCACCCAACCAATTTCAAAATTTCCAACCCAACCCTTCCATGCAAAATGATCCTAATCAACAAATGCTCATGGAAACTCTCAATAGAATCCAATCAAGCCTATCCGCCATGGATCAAAGAATAACCAATAGTGAGCGAAAAGCGGATCAAAGGCATCAAGAGGTCACCGCACATCAAAAGATGATGGATAATCAAGTGGCTCAACTCGCCGAGAGGGTGACCAATCTAGCCAATGAGAAGCTCCCGGGCCAACCTACTACCAACCCGGCTACCACCCATCATATCAAAGCTATCTCTCTTAGGTCCGGAAAGTCTTATGAGGGGCCTAGGAGTGATCAATCGGAGCACAACAAGGAGGGTGAAGAGCAAGTGGTTGAAGAGGTCAATGGAGATAGCCAAGGTCAAATAATTGACAATAGTGTTGAAGGAATCATTGAGAAGAGGAAGGGTGAAGGTAGTGAAAAGAGCAAGGAAGTTGGGAAAGACAAGCAACCATCAACATCTTATCAACCATCAAGGTTCGAACCACCACCGCCTTATCCCGAGAGGATTGTTGAGAGGAGATTGAATGACAAGTACAACAAGTTTATGGCTATGCTCAAGTCACTTCACATCAACATTCCATTCCTTGAAGCCATGACTCAAATGCCGCCCTATGCAAAATTCCTCAAGGAACTCCTCTCCAACAAAAAGAAGCTAAGTGATGAGTGTATCACTCTTCCTCATCAAGTTAGTGCCCTAGTGCAAAGAACCTTGCCTACCAAGCAATGTGATCCGGGAAGCTTCACTCTTCCGGTCAAGATTGGTGATATGGAGACCACGGGTGCACTAGCCAATCTTGGGGCAAGTGTGAGCCTCATGCCACTATCCATTGCAAAGAAGCTCAAGTTCGAGATGATACCTTCAAGAAAGGTGATTCAATTAGCCGACCGGTCCACAAAATTCCCATGCGGTGAGTTAGAAGACGTTCCTATCAAGATTGGGAATTTGTTTGTGCCTTGCGATTTTGTGGTAATGGATATGGAGGAGGACCCTCATACTCCTCTTATCCTTGGAAGAGAGGCACTCAAGACCATGGGAGCGGTCGTCAATTGCAAAGATAATACCATTACATGTGAGGTGGCCAATGAGAAGTACAAGTTTGAATTCTCAAAGACTTTGAAGCAACCTATGGTAGAGAAGATTTGGCGGGTGGACTTGGTGGACTCCGAACTTGATGAATTGGTGAAGTCTCATGAGGTAATTAAAGACAAGGGTGATGAAGACCTCCCATGTGAGGAGGTGGGTGAAGGAGAATCTTTGTGTGCCTTGGAGGTTGAAAGCCTTGAAGGTGAAACTCATCCCGAGACTCAAGGAGCCGTGGATGAGCTCCCATCGATCCAAAGTGAGTCTAAGGAGGAGAGTTCCACGCCTCCTCCCAAGGTAGAACTAAAACCCCTCCCTCCTTCTCTCAAATATGCTTATTTGGATGATGAATGCTTACATCCTATTATTGTCAATGCTAACCTCGATGACACCTCATTGCAAAAATTAATTGAGATTTTAAAAAAATATAGGAGTGTTATCGGGTATAGCATTGATGATATTAAGGGGATTAGCCCTAGCTTGTGTATGCATCGCATTCATCTTGAGAATGATCATGCCTCTTCCATTGAACCTCAAAGGCGGTTGAATCCGACTTTGAAGGAAGTGGTTAAGAAGGAAATCCTCAAACTACGTGAAGCAGGGATCATTTATGCTATCTCCGATAGCAAATGGGTGAGCCCGGTTCATGTGGTTCCCAAAAAGGGAGGCATGACCATCATACAAGATGACAAGGGGAATGATATCTCCACCCGCACTGTCACGGGGTGGAGAATGTGCATTGACTATAGGAGGCTTAATAAAGCCACTAGAAAAGATCATTTCCCCTTGCCATTTATCGATCAAATGTTGGAAAGGTTGGTGAAGCATTCGCACTATTGTTTTCTTGATGGTTATTCGGGTTTCTTTCAAATCCCAATTCACCCGGATGACCAACATAAAACAACCTTCACTTGTCCATTTGGGACATTTGCCTACCGAAGGATGCCCTTCGGATTGTGCAATGCCCCATCGACTTTCCAACGATGTATGACAACAATCTTTTCTGATATGATCGAAAATGCAATAGAAGTTTTCATGGATGATTTCAGTGTTTGTGGTTCGTCTTTTGACCTATGCTTGCACAATCTCGAAAAGGTTTTAAAGAGGTGTCAAGAGACGAACCTTGTGTTGAATTGGGAAAAGTGCCATTTTATGGTCGAGGAGGGCATTGTCCTCGGGCATAAAGTGTCCATTAATGGTATTGAGGTAGACCCGGCAAAGGTCTCGGCGATAGAAAAGCTACCCCCACCATCATCGGTGACCGGGGTACGTGCCTTCTTGGGGCACGCCGGCTTCTATCGCCGATTTATCAAAGATTTTGCACAAATAGCGAGACCTTTGACGAGTTTACTTCAAAAAGAGGTGGAGTTCAAATTCGATGATGCTTGCACTAAGGCATTTGAAACCTTGAAAAATGCTTTAGTGAATGCGCCTATAGTGCAAGCACCGAATTGGGAACTCCCGTTTGAACTAATGTGTGACGCGAGTGATAATGCAGTTGGAGCAGTCCTTGGGCAAAGGAAAGAAAAGAAATTGAATGTGATCTCTTATGCAAGCCGGACTTTAGATACGGCACAAAAGAATTACACCACCACGGAGAAGGAAATGTTGGCGGTGGTCTTCGCTTTTGACAAGTTTAGACCCTATTTGGTGTGCAACAAGGCCATTGTCTACACCGATCACTCCGCGGTGAAGTATTTAATGAGCAAAAAGGATGCTAAGCCGCGTCTAATCCGATGGGTCCTTCTCTTACAAGAATTTGACATTGAAATACGGGATAAGAAAGGAAGTGAGAACCTAGTGGCTGACCACCTCTCAAGGTTGCCGTTAGACCACCCTTCTTACCTTGACAAAGAGGATCCCATCGATGATGAGCTTCGAGATGACTCTCTTATGGCGATCGTTACCAACACCATCCCTTGGTTCGCTGATATTGCAAATTATTTAGCAAGCGGGGTGGTACCTCATGACTATGATGCTCGACAAAGGAAGAGGTTCTTCAAGGAAGTTAAGAGGTATTTTTGGGATGATCCAAGCTTGTACAAGAAGTGTAGTGACGGTTTGTTCCGGAAATGTGTGGCAAATCATGAGATGGAAGGTATTATGGAACATTGTCATTCACTACCTTGTGGAGGTCATGGAGGTGTCAACAAGACCGTGGCAAGGATCCTAGGTTGCAAGCTTTGGTGGCCAACTATGCGCAAAGATGTTCACAAGTTCATCCTTCGATGTGACCGATGCCAAAGGATGGGAGGAATCACAAAGAGAAATGAAATGCCGCAACAATCAATCTTAGAAGTTGAGCCATTTGATGTATGGGGAGTGGACTTCATGGGTCCGTTTGTCTCCTCATGTGGGAATTTGTATATCCTTGTGGCTGTGGATTATGTGACTAAATGGGTGGAAGCGATACCATCACCCACAAATGACCACAAGGTAGTGTTGAAGTTGCTCAAGAAGATCATCTTTCCTAGATTTGGGGTGCCACGGTGCCTAATTAGTGATGGCGGATCTCATTTCGCCAAGAAACAACTCGAAGCACTTTTGAAGAAATATGGGGTACATCATAAGGTTGGACTCCCTTACCATCCACAAACCCAAGGGCAAGTGGAGGTGTCCAACAGAGAAATTAAGAGTTTGCTCGAGAGGATGGTCAACAAGTCTAGAAAAGATTGGTCCCTAAGACTGGATGATGTACTATGGGCCTTACGGACCGCTTACAAGACACCGATTGGCACCACGCCATATCGACTTGTCTATGGTAAGGGATGCCACCTTCCGGTGGAATTGGAGTACAAGGCATGGTGGGCTGTAAAGGAACTCAACATGGACCTTCACTTGGCCGGAGAAAAGAGGTTACTCAAGCTCAACGAGTTGGAAGAGTTGAGGTATGATGCTTATGAGAGCTCTAGACTCTACAAAGAACAAACCAAGAGGTGGCACGACAAAAGGATTCGAGATCGTGACTTCGAGGTGGGTAACAAGGTTCTTCTCTTCAACTCACGTCTCCGACTCTTTCCCGGGAAGCTCAAGTCCAAATGGGTGGGGCCGTTTACAATCACCAAAGTAACCCCCTATGGCTCGTTCGAATTGGAAAATCATGAAGATGGGAGCCGGTTCATGGTGAATGGGCAACGGATCAAAAGATACTATGATGAAGGAGATATTGGAAAGATCGGTTGCCTAATGCTTGGGACGGTCCACACCGTTCCTCCCCCTTAGCTTTATTGCTCGTGACGTAACGTCAAGCTAGGGACGTTAAACTAGCATGCTTTGTAGTATATTGTGAATATTTGTCTTTGAACTATCTCTTTAGTTACTTTTTGTTTTAAGTACTTTGCAAAAATCCGGAGGATTTTTCCCCAAAGAGGGGATGGTTTATGTTGGTTATCGTTAGCCAAAATGCTATAAACCGAAGGGCACGACCTCTTGGCTCAACCAATCAATGGTTGAGTCGGGTACTTAGGTCGCATCCTATAGAAGTACTAACGATTTTGGTTTGAGTGATATTTGAGTGTTTGCAGGTTTGGGAAATAATGCTTTTAAAGCCAAAAATCCGACAGTCTAGAGCGGGCGCTCTAAACAGAGGGCGGGCGCTCTGCATCATTGGGAATTATTCAGAATACTTGAGGCCAAAATCCGAGAATTTAGAGCGGGCGCTCTGGGTGTAGAGCGGGCGCTCTGATTTTAAGGGGGCTAAGGAAGGAAAATTTCGAGAATTTAGAGCGGGCGCTCTGGGTGTAGAGCGGGCGCTTTGAAGGTCCCTCAGAAATTCTACATTTTTGGTGCTAAAATCCGAGAAGCTAGAGCGGGCGCTCTGGTCAGAGAGCGGGAGCTCTGAGTTTTGGGTGAAAAATTGACTGTGTGGGAAAATTGCGCAGCTTTAGAGCGGGCGCCCTGATCTTAGAGCGGGCGCTTTGATTTTCAACCCAGAAACCTGATTTTTCAGCGAAATGTTAGAGCGGCCGCTCTACCCTTAGAGCGCCCGCTCCGACCCTCATTTCAGACTTTGCGTTTTATCCCCTTTTAATTTTGAGCACCCAAATTCTCACCTCAAACTCCCTATCCCTATCCCTTCTCTCACCTCAAACTCCCTCAACTTCTTCCTCCATAACCAAACCTTCATCTCCTCCAAATCTCCACCTTCCAACTACGAATTCCTCTAAAATTCACAAATTATTCATCCCCTATCTCCAAAAATCATACATCTCCATCAAGAATTCAGCACCTAGTCCGGATTTTATCAAGAATTGAAGCGGGTTCTACCGGGTTCGCGTCGGGCCAAGTCGGGTTCTTCTTCAATTTCAACTCTAGGCTAATTTGTCTCCAACTGTTGGTATAATCCTACTCTTACTAAGTTAATTTTCCCTATTTCTTTGGATATTTGCTTATTAAGGTTGGCTTAATTGGAGAATTGATGGTGAATGAATGGGTTTTGTGTTTTATGTGGTGAAAATTTGTTGTGAATTGTAGTGTGTTGTTTGTTGTGGTGCTTTGGCAAGGGAAAATTATTGTGGATTTTTGCTAGGTTTTGGTTTGTAGAAAGTTTTGGTTTTAGATATGGTGGTTGTGCAAAGTTTTGGAGAGTTTTGTTTTTGTGGTCATTGTGTAGAATTGTTGGAAATTGTTGGGTTGTTGTGGTGTGTTGCTTTGAAAAATTTCTATATTGTTGTTGTAAGAAATGGCTGGTGGTTCAAAGAGGCAAAGAGCCGAACCAAGGAGTGGTAATGTAGGAGAAAGTAGTGGTGCCGGTAGTAGTGGTGGGCATGCTCAACCCACTCAATTCAACATTACCCTGCCACATGCGGCCCAAAGGAACAAATTGGCCGCATTGGATAGGAGGGCAATTAATCCAACTCTCTTCTATTCCCAACACGACTGTTATATGATTGGAATAGACGAGAAGGTTAGGGAGCTTGCAGTGAATCTGGGGTTTGATGCGTTCTTGGATTGTAGATTGCCAAATGATTACATCACCGCAGATACTTCCTACTACTACCCCACCCAACCGCCTCTAACTTACCGCCCCCTAACATTGGAGTTTCTTGCTAGCTTCGAGTTAAATCAAGAGGAGGGTATGGAAGGCATTGATGCATTCAAAGTAAAATTCCGGTTGTTCAACAAAGGCCACCACATTACCCTCCGTGCTTTCAATGAACTATTTGGTTGGGACCCAAATGCTCGAATCTTGGATACCTCCGGACTTGACGGTCAAGGTTATATAGAGGGGTACAATCCGCAAGAATTTTGGGCCCGAATCACGAGTGGGGCTAGAGAATTCCAATCAAACTCCTCCAAGGC